CTCGCGAAATCGTGCGGTCACGGATATCCGTCCCCGAGATCCAGCAACGAGCCCTGGCGTACATACCAGACGACTTCCTCGCCAATATTCCCGAAGACAACAACGAGTTCTCGCTGTTCCAAGGCTTCCAGGCGTCGCTGCCAGACGAGCCTGGCAGCCACCAGAAGAAGCATGGCAGGCACAATGCGAGAGGGCAGAGGCTGATAGGCGGTGGAGATGACGAGGACGATACAAACGTGCCGCCCTCGATGCAGAAACTGCGGAATCAGAAGCACAGCATGGACCATCGACTGGAGATGATGGGCGTGCGGAAGCACATGTGCGTAGCCGAGATACACGAGATCGACAACAAGATCGCAAACCTCAACACCATGCGCAAGATGGTCCTGGACCGCCTCGCAGGATTGGAGATTGAGGAGGCGGAGCTAGAGCAGGATCTGTTGGGCGTGGACAACCAGATTGAGGATCTGCAAGAAGAGCTGGAGGATGCAGCCGCCTTGGCCCCAAAGCCGCCAGATTCGCCTACAGCTGTCGAGCAAGACGGAGCGTCAGACGATTTCATGTCCGAGTCGATCTACCAGAAGATGTCTTCGCCCAGGTCGAAGCACAAGCGAAGGCCACGGCGCATATCCATACCCATACTGCACGAACACCTGGGATCAGGGTCCATGATCAAGCAACTGCCAGCGCATACCGACTCGATCACAGCCATGGACTTTGATGCACCATGGGGTACACTGGTCACTGCGGCTTTGGATGACACTGTCAGAGTGTGGGACCTAAATGCTGGGCGCTGCATGGGGATGCTTGAGGGCCACCTCTCCTCGGTGCGCTGCTTGCAAGTGGAAGAGAACATTGTTGCAACTGGGTCCAAGGACGCTTCCATACGACTGTGGGACCTGAGCAAGGCAGAATACGCCCCTATGGACAACCGGATAAACAAAGAAGACGACGAAGACGACGAAGAGGACGACGGTCTAGCTTTCGAAAACTCGGCCGATGCGCCTCCGGCACCGCCACCTACAATCATGCAAGATTGCCCTCTTTTCTCGCTCGCATCACATGTCGACGAAGTTACGGCATTACACTTCCGCGGCGATACTTTGGTTTCGGGCTCTGCGGACAAGACGCTGAGACAATGGGATCTCGTCAAAGGACGGTGTGTGCAGACTCTCGATGTGCTGTGGGCGGCCGCACAAGCAACAGCGACAAACACAACAAACAGCACATGGCGACAAACTGGACGTGTTGCAGATGCTTCAGCAGACTTTGTCGGAGCCATACAAGTCTTCGACGCTGCACTGGCATGCGGCACTGCGGACGGTATGGTGAGGCTATGGGATCTGCGGAGCGGGCAGGTGCATCGTAGTTTGGTCGGCCACACTGGCCCAGTCACCGCCCTTCAATTTGACGATGTTCATCTTGTCACAGGGAGCGTGGACAGGAGCATTCGGGTAAGCCAGGGCTAGGACTGTACAAAGTAATGCGAGACGCTAATATGCATAGATCTGGGACCTCCGCACAGGCTCTATACACGACGCCTACGCTTACGACAATCCCGTGACCAGCGTCATGTTTGATGCGCGCCGCATTGTGTCTGCTGCCGGCGAAGATGTGGTCAAGGTGTATGACAAGACGGATGGTCGACACTGGAACTGCGGGCCTGGCGTTGGTGTCGATGAATCGGAAGCTGAAACACATTCAATCATCGAGCGCGTGCGGATAAAAGATGGGTACATGGTGGAGGGCCGCAGGGACGGTACTGTTGGCGTATGGTCCTGCTAAGCAAGCAATGAATGCTTCACGGGGCAGGCCACCGATACAAGTAGGTGCAAGACGGGGGGAGAGCGCTTTGTACTAGTACGAATACATATCCAAGATGTCGAGCTCTCTGTGTTTCGGGCAGCCCTGAGTCAACATGTGGCTTCCAAAATATATGCCATTTGACGATATACATTGTTCGGTTGCCAACAAAAGTTCCATGTTTGCACATGCAATAATTAGAAGCATCACTAAGCCAAACGGGACCATGCGGATGTACCTTGTAAGCCTCGTAGCGGCAAGGTTTTGCCAGGGGCGGGCGTGTCAGCCCTCAGCTCCACAAGACCCCAGCTCGTATGGCTTGGTGACGTAAAGCTGAGCACTGGGAAACACTTCTCTTTTCTTGATACCTTCAGCCCTCATACCCTGAACATATTCACAAGAAGATCCCCCCTTGGAACACTCGTTTTTTTTTGTCCTTCACCCGCTGCCCTTATGCCCTACCCATGTTAGTAGACCAATTGCGCTTCCTTTGTTAACCCACTCCACCGGCCTCGCGTCTCTGGGCTGCCGCCGCCTGCGACCCACCGCAATGCTGCCACGACAGACAGCAACGCTGTCGCGTGCATATAGCAACCCTACAAGAGCCTCAACTCTTTGCAGAAGACTGGCACGGCCATCGGCACGGCCATTCCACGCATCATTCGGCCATGGATCTCCCGCACGCTCAGCCGGCCTGCAAACGTCGCGGTTCAACAAGTCCAGGTCGCCGATAATACGATCCATATCAACGGCGCCGCTGCCCGTGACCAAGTCGCGCTTCGTACGTTATGCGTATAGGACAGCAGCCATCTTCGGTACCTTTGTCGCCGTAACGGGCGGCTTGGTGGTCGCCTTCTTCGTGTACGATGCCACCACATACAACGACGATCCCATCGCAACAGACATACCCGTGTCGGAGCTCGCATTGAACCCCCAGCGAGGCGGACCCAAGAACTTGCCCATTGCCAACCACTTTGTAGACGACGATGACAGCCCGGAGAACAAGGCCTGCAAGCACAAGCCGAAGCTGGTCATACTCGGCACGGGATGGGGCAGCGTGGCGCTCTTGAAGCAGCTGAACCCAGACGACTATCACGTCACCGTCATCTCACCATCCAACACGTTTTTGTTCACGCCCATGCTGCCGTCGGCGACGGTGGGAACTTTGGAGCTGAGATCGCTCGTGGAACCGGTTCGCAAGATTGTCAGAAGAGTGCGTGGGCATTTCCTCAAGGCAAAGGCCGAGGATGTCGAATTGTCAGAGAAGCTCATCGAGTGTTCGGCCGTCGATGCCAATGGCCAGGAGCAACGATTCTACGTTCCATATGACAAGCTGGTAGTGGGCGTTGGCTCCGTCACAAACCCACACGGTGTCAAGGGCCTCGAATACTGTCACTTTCTAAAGGACATTAGCGATGCCCGCTTGATTCGAAATCAAGTCGTTCGAAATCTGGAAAGCGCCTGTCTGCCCACTACCTCTGATGAGGAAAGGCGAAGGTTGCTGTCCTTCGTTGTTTGTGGTGGTGGACCAACAGGCGTCGAGTTTGCCGCAGAGCTTTTTGACATGCTCAACGAGGACCTTTGCAAGCTCTATCCAAAGATTTTGCGCAACGAAATCTCCGTCCATGTCATTCAATCGCGAAGTCACATTCTCAACACCTACGATGAAGCCTTGTCTGAGTACGCTGAGAAGCGATTCGCACACGACGAGGTCGACATACAGACCAATTCGCGTGTCAAAGAAATCCAAGCGGACAGGATTCTCTACTCGCAAAAGGACGAGAACGACAAGGTCGTCACAAAAGAAATCCCAATGGGCTTTTGCCTCTGGTCCACTGGCGTCTCTCAAACTGACTTTTGCAAGCGCCTCGCCGCTAAATTGGACGGTCAAAATAACAAGCATGCTCTCGAAACTGATACCCATCTGCGCTTAAATGGCTCACCACTAGGTGACGTCTACGCCATCGGCGACTGCGCCACTGTCCAGAACAACGTCTCAGATCACATTGTTAATTTTCTGCGCACCACTGCCTGGGAGAAGGGCAAGGACCCCGAATCGCTACACATCTCGTACCAAGACTGGCGCAGCGTCGCGAAACGGGTGAAGCAACGTTTCCCACAATCAGCGAATCATCTCAGACGGCTAGACAGATTATTCGAGCAGTACGACAAGGATAACTCCGGCACTCTCGATTTTGGCGAGTTGAGAGAGCTCCTTTTCCAAATCGACTCCAAACTCACCTCACTCCCCGCGACCGCACAACGCGCTAATCAACAAGGTCAATACCTAGGCCGCAAGTTCAACAAGATTGCGCAAGCTGCACCCGGCATGGCCCTCAACAACATGGACTATGGTGACATTGATGATGCTGTGTACAAGGCTTTTGAGTATAAGCATCTGGGCAGTCTCGCCTACATTGGGAATGCAGCCATCTTTGATTATAATGGATACGGTTTGAGCGGAGGGTTACTAGCGGTGTACCTGTGGAGAGGCGTATATTTTGCGCAGAGCGTGAGCTTTAGGACGCGCTGTTTACTGGCGATGGATTGGACCAAGAGGGCGCTTTTTGGAAGAGGTAAGTTCAAACTTACACGTACTCATTACGAGAAACTTGAAGAGCTTGCTAACATTTGTCAGATTTGATGAATTTCTAGATTCATACACGGCGTGCTATTCCAAAGCATTCAGCGATAGACTGGCATAGCCTCGGTGCTATTATTCCTGTTCCTCATGTACATCATCAGCTCGAAGCTAAAGCACATAATAATTGCTCTTCGTGTAAAGACACCAAATACCGATACTATACATCTATCGATCAACAAGCAGATTTTTTTCATCAAACTGTCCTTGGATAGCCGTGAGACCTCACATGATATGGTCATGGGCTAGGTGCCTTAACGAAATTTGTTTTGCAGGCTCCAATAAGTCATTGGTCGATCATGCATGCATACAGTCGACTATCAGCTCGCTCTTGGGCGCCTCGCTTCAGCCGAGCCCGCATAGCTCCACACCATACACCTCACCATACATTTCAGCTCCCAAGGATTCAGCCTCTGCCCAGCCCCTCGCTATTGACCTCTCTTCCACTGTCGACCCGAGTACTGCTTCTGGATTTTGTTCAGGTAGATAATTTTCAATTACCACCATTCAATCATCGAATAAACACATACCAAGCGCCTCATATATGAGCGCAAGCCTCCTCTTGGTGTAGTTGGTTTGTATGTCTCCCCCACCTCATCCCTGAGTAAGCGCAATGCGGAATGCTGACCTTGTCAGATCACGTTCGACTGTAATAGTGTTATGCTATCGAAAGGTCCCTAGTTCGATTCTGGGAGAGGAGAGTGACCAGCTTTTTTTGTTCGTTTGTTGTGATGGCCGTGGTAAAATTTTGAGCATATGTGGCGCAATCCGTATACTTGAGATTTCTTGATGATAGAATCTCGCTTAAATTCAATCAGCGTCAGCAGTGACAATCTCGGAACCCTAACATCACATGATGCTGTTGAGCAAGCGTCATTTAGATATATGCTATGCTCTCTTTGGATGGACTGTTCACACTTCACTACAGTCTGGGTATACAGATTTCTCCATATCTACCACAGCTAATAGTGATCGATAAGGAGATAGCATAATTGACTTCGCTTCCTTCCCATTATTCAACCTACCTACAATCATCATTCTATCTCATGAAGTATCGAGCTATACGACTTCATGGTGTGAAATAAGCCAGCAGGCGACCATTGTACATTGTGCGATACTTCACGATGGCCACATATACGCGTTTTTGACGCTGGTAAATCATACTGGTGCTTTGTTGGAAATTGTACAATTGCACCAAAGCATTTCAGAGGCGTGCGATCTAATACACTAGACGGACAAAGGTATTTAATGATACGTGGAAGGAGAAATCCGCTTGAAGTTTGATGGATGTCCGAGTCAAAGATGACTTCGGAACAAACCTACGATTGGGATAACTATGTACATGCATCATGGCTTACAAAAGTCAATGTGGGTCCCATTTCTATTGCTTTGCTCGCTCCCCTGCTGTTCTCGATCCCCAACCGTAGCCCTCGCCATAGTCTGGTAATTCAGCTTGATACTCTTGCGCCAGTTTGCTCGAATCATGCGATGCGCTTGAAGCATGGGAGTCATGCGAAGCATCACGCTTATGCGACCGAAAGTAGTGATGAGCCCCATCCACGTCTTTCAGGGCGCCAAAGCTGCTTGGGCGATCACTTCGCTCAGCAAGCGTGATTGGCAAGTTTTGTACCTCTGGAGGGGATAGTTGCATCGATGGAGGATGATAAGCCTTGTATGCCGATGAAGGAGCGGCACTGAGTTGCGGCGAGGCATGATTGCTATTCGGTGTAGACGACGGAGGAGAATAGTACTGTGAGTATCGTGATGCGTTCGTTTTCGTGTCCGTTATCTGCACCGATGCAGTTTGTGAAGGTACGCTGTTACTCGGAACTCTATGATGAGCGTGATGATTACTCCGCCCACCCACCATTAGGCTAGCGGGAAGTGCGGCCAGAGGGGCTGACTGTGTACGTGGGTTTGGAGGTCGAATATCTTCCTGGTGCTGTGGAGGGCTAGCTACGGCAATCGGTGGGGATTTTGGGTAATCCTCAAACACTTCCTTATTGTACACCTTTGGTATAACTGAATCAGACGGAAGTTCCTGGGGTTGGTCGTCACCTTGCTTGTGTGTTTGCAATGCAGCATCAATGTTAGCCGATAACTCTGCGATTATGTTGTTTGACCTGGGCGCCGCCGCATCAAGCTCAAAAACGAACGTTGACTGCGTTGGCTCTTGGCTGGTATTGTTTTGTGTAGGCAAATTCTGTTTTGAAGGCGCTTGATACACGCCTTCAGAACCAACAAGGTGCAATTTGCGTGTCAATTCATCAGAATTGGGAACCCATTGTTGAAGAGGTGCCGGCTCTCCTTCGGGACGAACCACATGAAGGCTTCCTGTTTGAGATGATGGTAGGAGGTTCCCAGATGTCTCAATTCTGACCTGTTGTGGGCCTTGGAATACAGTCCCCCCTCTGGGCGATACCGGCTTGTTCGTGTTTGGGGAATTGCTTTTTCCGCTCGCCAGATGGGGTAAATTATCTCCTCTTGATCGTAAGTGAGGCTTCAGGTCGCTCTGTCTAGAACTATACGGTGCAGGCGTAGCCGACATCTCAACCGGCGAGACCCGGTACTGTGATTGGTGTTGTTGTAAGGAACTGCCTCCTAATGAGAAATTTGATTGTGCGAACTCTTTAGAAACAATAGAATTCGAGAAACTGGCATCTAGGTTAGGCATGGAGTTTCTTGTATGAATGATTCCACGACTAGGTGCGAGAGGAGATGTAGCCATGGGTCTTGCATCTAGCATATCCTGCGTGCTTTTATGACGAGCATGGTGTACTAATCCTCCATGCTGCCCAGAAGGTGGCAATATGATAACCTGCTTATTTTGTGAAGTGTCCATCGTCTGCAGACCTTCAGGACTGAAACGCCTATCGATTGAAACGCCAGTGCAACGATACCTTGGCCGTAAGTCTTGTCCTAGTACGCGTAAATCCGATGGCGGCTGTGACGGTGCCATGAGTTCTACAGGTTGGGGGCCAATGTTTGTGGGATGTTGCCGGGAAGGCTTCGGTTTACTGGTCAGCGGGGGGGCCATAAACTCTGATATCCGCATGTTGAGTGCAGGTGCTGATTTGTGTGGACTGATTCGAGGCTTTGGAGCCTCTAAGGTGGAATGTGAGTGTTTCTGGCTGGTGTGGGACGCCGTCGAGCTTGTCTCCAATACTGGTGGGGGTTCTTTGCCCAAAAGTATCTGATAGCACCTGCGCCTGTCCTCGGCAGCGAGCCGTGAAAAAAAAGGTGTCCCCAGGAAGTTCTGCTGCACTGCCTTTTGATCGAGTTGATCCCGAATAGACTGGATATCCTCCCCGTAATGTCTACAAAGGAATAGAATATCCTTTCGCGGATCCCACAATAGATCACGTATTCTACAGTAATGGACCAATGACTTGACCAAATGCAGCATATTCAAGCCCCTAAAAGTCTTTCGCCTTGGCTCTTTCAGGCTTAGGAGCACGAGGTTGCTACTTAGCATACCGTTTGGTGGGGTTCCATGGGAACCTATGTGGCGTGAGTACAGATAATCTTTACAAGGCAGAAAGACTGACCAGGTGGTATAATGTCGACTTCAATGGTGGCCGCATCAGAACACCCTTCATCTTTGTAGCCTGGTCCAGTTCGAACAAGTATCTTCGCCGGGAACAGTGGGTTCATTCCATCGGGAAGCCGAACGCTATGCCTGTTAGTTCAACTTCTCCTACAAGACATAACTGAACATACCGTTGATCTGCTTCTAGCTTGGCTTTGACGCGATTAAAATCCTTGTCGTCATACGCAATATGTACATCAGGCATTTCGCGGCGGTACCCTAAGCACAGCATTTCGAGGCCTCCCATTACACCATACGCTAGTTTCTTTTCCTCGAAAATATCACAGATGTGATTTGCGGCCGCGAGGAAATTGGCCCGTGGAGGTATTTTGAAGTCTTTTCCTTGCTGTCTCTTCTGTTTATTAAACTCCTCCACACTGTAATATCTCATCTTTTCCGCCATGCTTAATGTGAGCCCATGCAAAATGGCTTTGAATTGACCAAACAAGCACGAAAAGACGGCTGTCGCGGGGCAGGAATGATAAATGTTGATAGAGTTAGCGTGTAAGCGAAATCATGCCTCAGCCTGATGTCGTAGCAAGGGAGCGGGAAAGTTGGGTGGGTCGCAGCAAGTCCGGAACTTTAGGGCATGAGCGAGGCTTCTTTTATGGAACCATTTTGCGTAAGACTTGGCCATCAGCTCTTTAGTACATGTTCCTCGAAGCAGTGTTGCTGACAGGGCGCCCCAAATAGTCTAGATTAAGCCGCTTCAGGGCTGATAAGCGAGTGGCTGAGCTGAGAAGCTGCAAAGCACGCTTGAAAAGGGACTTGAAAGCGGGCAGTGGTGCTTAAGTTCAAAGGATAAAGCGATTTCCGAAGGCTTGTTTCTGAGCCTTGGAGGCTTGTTCAACTCGCAAATCAATGGCCGGTACCAATGGTCTGGTCTTAGTAGTGACGCTTCCGGTTCTGTGTGGCTGAGGCGAAGGTGGAGGCGGAGGTGGCTATATTTAGCACACAGCATGCGAGCCAACCGTGGCTCATCATTGGTAGAGTCCTCAACTCTAACCCGATCAGGGGGTCTGTAGTCGGACTAAGCCAATGTCCTGCGTGGAAGGACATTTTGGCATACTCATGTAGCTGATGAATGGGTGTTTGCTGATGTTGCTGACGATTGCTTTGATACAGATTAACACTGTCATAATCGAAGGGGATATAGTTATTAGCCCCCAATCATTCTGCACGGAAAACGTCGGGCGGGCTGAGAGTGTTGAATCACCGTCCACTATGAGCGGGTTGGTATTGCTAGTGACAGCCGATGCGCTCTGGCTCTAGAAGCATTGCATCAGTCTTCGCCAGTGAGCGGGCGTGGTATTGAGCTGGCAACCATCACCGTAAGACACAGATGCTGCAAGTAGATCTTTGCAAGACCGGAACGTTTCGAAAATGTCAACTATACTCAAAGAACTGCAAGGCCAAGGATGTCTGAAAGAAGGATTAGAAATCGTTAATGTTGACACGAGAAGAGATTATATGATTATGTGACTTTGAGGTGCGATACGAACAGACGGGGCAGCCCTATTCTGCGTTAGCGTTACTAGCTTCAGTCACCGCCAACATATGGTGGAACCTAGAAGCCAAATATGTGTTCATAAACTATAACGCAACAGTACTATTTTGATGTCCCTCCCAATGGCAAATTCAATTCGATAACTGCACCAGGTGGTGGTGGCTGCTCTAGTGCTCTCATCATGGGCTCCAGGACAGCACAATTAGAGATCTGTGTCTCCGGCATCTTCTCCATAGCTGTTCCATTAGTGATGAAACGCAGCCTCTCCTTCGCGGTGCCCCATACTCTCCACTCAGCCGTTCCGTTCAGCCTATCTATGTTAGGATCTAGGCTCCTGACGAAACTCGTGATGTAGCCACGAATTATAGGCACGATGTCCGCATTCTTGATCGTTGCGTTGGTATTTGGAAGATAGGACTTTGGAGGGGCGCCATCAGTGTTATTCGGCCCCCAAATAGCTGGCAGTTCGACAGTGTGGAAAGCACCAAATCCAAGGCTTTCTTGTTCCTCGTCAATGACTCCGTATCGATAATTATAGGTGGCTACTCCGTCCCGGGCCTGAACATCCTGGTAGAAGCTTGAGACACAATTCAGGCGATAATCAC